TTATTGTTTTGAATTTGTTTTGAAATAGTCAACTTTTATATATGGTTTGCATGCCTTTTTATTTACTTTGAGATGATGTTACAAATTTACCTTGTGCATGGAATGAGACATCAATACATCATGCTTCAAAATCATGATTCATTCTATTAAAATGAATAACACGATATGATTAACTGGTTATAACACTATGCACAAGTGTCATTTATCGGAGAGATGAAACAGAAACTAAAATATAATATTTGTACAGAATGTATTTTTCTCTTTCTTCTCTTTCGCACGAGACTAGCAAATGAAAATACCAATCGAATATTCTTTTCCGGTCCGTACATTTTAGCCAGACTTCATCGTACTGAAGTTGTTGGTTCGCCTGATCTAACATTAGTCCAGTCGACCAATCATCATTTTTAACTAAAATACATATTTATACTATAAAATGTATTATTTTTATTTATATTATTTTTTAGAATATGAACATCTCATAGTAATATAATATGCATATCTGTTGCAACAAATGTTGCCTAACAATAGCCTTATACAGTGCACGTCTATACATACATAGTTCTCAATTCTTTTATTTCTAACTTTCACCAAAAGCTCATTGACACATTACAAACAACAAATACATTATTACCCATTCATTAAAAACAAAAACGAAAATCGATCATCGTTTAAAGCTTGGCTCTTCTAAGCTCCAATTTCGCGATAGTTCCCAAGTGAACCTCATCTGGGCCATCGGCAATTCTCAATGTTCGTGAAGTGGCCCAAAGGTGGGCCAATACAGTGTCCCCAGATACACCGGCTGCACCATGCACTTGCATGGCCATGTCGAGCACTCTTAGTGCCATGTTTGGAGCAGCAACCTGTTTGGGTTGATAAAAATGTTAGTACATAAGGATGCACAAGGGAAAATGGCAAACGCGTGAAAGGATATATGCGCATGGGATTAGTACCTTGGCCATGGCAATAGTCCCACGAGCCTTTTTGTTCCCGAGCCTGTCGAGCTGGTCTGCGGCTTCTAAAACAAGCAATCTAGTGCTTTCTAGATCTATACGACACTGCGCGTGGGAAATAATATAATGAGCCGAAAAATATAAAGATTTAATATATACAGCAAANTTATCCTGAGGTTTGATTTAGTGTTAAAATCAGGGGGCTAACTATTCAACTTTTCTGAATGAAAAAAGGGCTTAGAATTTTATTTATTTATAAGTGTAAGAGAATATATGATTGCAGGATTTTTAATTTCTAAAGCCAATTTTGTTTTATTGTAATTAGGTCACCCTCAAGGGTACATCATACAGTAATCCCATTATCGTTAAAGACTGCTACAACCAATGGACACAAGAGATTACTAATTTATAGGCAAAATTGCGACCTTTTTCGAAATTGCAATTTAATCACGACCTTTTTACTTTTGCAAATTATATCGCAATCTTCAGTTTGTTGCAAATCAGTGCACCGATTTGGAGAACCCGTGTAAACTATATCACAATCTTCGGTTTATTTTTCGGCCACATCAGGCCGATTTCTAGGATTGATTTTTCAGAACTCGTGCAAAAAGTGAAGATTGTGATATAATTTGCAAAAGTGAAAAGGTCGTCATTAAATTGCAACTTTGAAAAAGGTCGTAAAATGTCACGAGCAATTTTGCCTAATTTATAAGTAAAGAGCGCCTCAAGACTGAATAAAGCAATTTGATAGCCATTGGTTTC